GCCACGGCGCGCGGCGGGGCCCCGCTTTAACACACCGCACGCTTTATTAAAAATGATGCTGAGGTTTTGGCTTGAATTATTAATCGAGTTTTAATGATAGGAAGTTATTTTTCACGGCCCCCTGGAGGGAAGATGGCGACTGAGCCTTGCCGCGCTGGTTAAAAGCTATTCTTATCTCTGCCCGCCACGAACTTATGGGGCCGGCGACATTAGGGCGCTCAATAATGCATGCCTTTGAAATATGTCCCCGAGATGGGCGCGTTAAAAATGCATGCCTGAGTCCTGCGCCCGGAGCCGCGCAGAGCCGCGGACCGGCCACCCCGACGGGGCGTCCCGGCGGCGGCCTCCCCGCCCGGCCAGCACACCGAGAGCTCCTTAATCGATTGTGACTCTTTGCCATAAACTTTACGAGGGGAACAAGCCCACCAGGACCCTCAGACGGAGCTGTCAATTAGCATCAGCAGCCGGGCTGGAGGTGGGGGTCAGCTTTTGGGTTAAAACACACACGCACGCACAACTCTTGCGGCCAGGACCCGGGCCATCCTGGCTGCACTGCTCTCAGGACAACACTTGGTAAATCACAAAAAGGACGAAAATTAGCTTATTTGGCTTTATTTTTTTGTGCTTGCCTGGGACACCGCCCCAGAGAGGTGTCCGAGGTCTTTGCTACCTGGGGGCTGCAGGAAGGGTGCCAAGCAGTGCCAGAAAGGTGCAAAACATTCATCAGTAGGGAATTAATAAATATAGACAAATAAAAAGTGGCATTAATAATATTTTTTTTTAATAATAATTTTCCGAGTGCTGCCTAATCTGGTTGCTTGGGATTTAACCTTTCTCCTATTGCTGCAAACCTTTGCTGCGACTCAGACTCCCGGCACGGCTGGACGTACAGACAGACACCCAGGCCTTACCTTGTCGTTCTGGTAGGCGGTGACGGCGATGAAGTCGGTCTCGGGAAACACGTAGGTGCGGAAGGTGCTATAGGGCAGCTTGAGGATGTCGTTGGCCCGCACGATGTGGAAGCGGGGCTGGTACTTGTGCATCGAGTTCAGAATGGTCTGGAGCGGGGAGGCAAGAGAAAAGAGCGAGGGGCTGCCATAAGACACAAATCTGTGCTACAAACACAGACAAATCTACCCATACAGCTACAAAGCATTTTGGCACATTTTTTTTTTTCCCGGAAAAAATCATTATGATGAAACAATGCCGGTGGATGCCATAAAATAGAGATTTATTTATTTTGTGTGGGCTTTTTTTGTTTATGCCATTGTCCGAATTGCCCCCAAATAAGGTGGGCACAGGGAAAAGGGAGGCACAACAACACCTTGTGCTGGCGAGATGTGAATCTGAGCAATAAAGAAACAGAAAGGTATCACCGTGCTTTAATGCAACCCTGAAAAACCTCTCCGGTTTTTAAAAACACCTTTCTATCAGCTTTTCGTAGTTCTGCTGTTTTAAAAAATACCCTACCTCATCCCCCCGAAATAAAATGTTCTGCACAGCCAGTCAGTTGTAGCAGAACATGTATGTATGTATATTCTAGCTACGAAGCAAGCGAGAAGGCTGGTTCAAGGAGCCACGGTACAGTCCTGTCTCGGAGCGAGGCTGCAGCCACACGAGCATTTTCCCTTTTTCCAATCAGGTGTCTGAAATTCTCGCCAACAACCGAAGTACTCCTCTAATCCCTCGCTTTTTCATTTTGAAGGAAAAAAAATAACTATGGAATATAAATCGCGATTTTGCCGGGGATATTTGGAACCGGCTGAAGCCTCAACGCGGAGCGAGCCGAGCCGATCCGCAGCCACCGCCGCTTCCTGAGCGCGGAGCGGCCGCGCTCCGGCGGCGGGCAGACTCGCGGGATAAAGAGCACAGAAAACAGCCGAGGAGCGTCGAAAGCTCCAGTAATTATTGTCAAAAAACATCGGCCAAATGGCTAAATAATTATCACTTCATTTCGTTTTAGAAAGCAATAAAAAAAATCCCCCCGGCTTTTTTTTTCCCTTAAAAAAAAAAACTCCAGCAATAACCACCTGCTGACGAACTGTCAGATCACTATTATATTGGTACACTCTAGCTGGAATTTATAATAAAAACGGTGCAAAAAAATCTAATTCGGGCGTGCAAAGCTGCATTCCCTAAAAAATAATAATAACAATAATCATCCCTCTCTGAGCAGATGGGCACTGGCTAAACCCTTGTCTCCCAGATTTAACACACTCCGGATTTGGGGAAACGACACAGAGCAGAAATCTTTAATTGAAGGAGATGAAGCGTTAAAAACGCTCAACCAACATAGCTTTTCCCCAGAATCAAAAAAAAAAATAAATAAATAAAAAGGGCTATTTATTAGACTCTCTTGCTATCGATTTACCTTGCAGCCTATAAATAGCATTGCAA